CGTGCGGCGCTCGAGAACCGACTGATTACTCGGTACATTTCTATGAACTATCTTTTGTTTCACGCGTCAGGCGTATTAACTCGCATCTCATACAAGATGTATTAGCAGTCCTCGTGTATTCGCCGAAGCGCACGAGATATTAGTTTAGTAAAGCGCTCAAACTTTTTGACTATACATAATTAGATATTTAATTTTTTATACGTTTTTGTATGTTTAGAAAATAAATATTAAAATGGTAATTTAAAAATAATGATGAAGTAATATTTTGTAATTTTTAAATCTTTTGAATTGGAGGTTCAGCGCACGAGTGCACTTAAGGTACAGCCGCCACTGATAACAAGGAATATAGAAGTAACTCGCTGAATAGATTTTTTTAATAGAAAAAAAAATAAAAAGAGAAAAGAAAATTCTCTACAATTACTATCTATATAAAAACAGTTCTAGCTTATACAATTTACTATGTCTACGCACATATATGTACCTATATCTAACAACTTTACTTAGACTATTAATAATAACATTTATATACATGTTTTTATAATTATTTATCGTCATAAAATTTCCATGCAGCACCAATCGTTTGCATCTGATCTATTCATATTCAAGTCTGAACTAAAGGCTAGAATGAAAGCTTCTATACAGCCAGCGTCAACTATATTCGAACTTTTGCTCAGTGCTTTTAATTCGCATATAACGAATGAAATGTATGCTCGCTTCTAAACAAGTGCCTTATTCATATTTCTAGTTTTAATTTACGAAGAGCGTACTTGCTAAAAGCTTCTTTAATATAGCTAATTATATTCACATAGCACCACTCAAATAAGTCTCTTTGTATGAAAATTGCAACTGTAGTTATTTTTACATTACTCCTGCTTTTTATTATCCGGTATATTTTTAATTAGGAACATAAAATGTGTGATTCTCATTAATTTTCATTAAAGTATAATCTTTTACGATTTGAAATTTTTCCAAAATGTAAGAAATATTCATAAAGTAAAAGAGCTCAGAGGATAAAATACTAAAAATATCCAAAATAGCTTTGGAAATGATATAATTTATGTATTAAAGTATGACAGATTCTATATCCGATGATCAAAAAATCGTAAATCAGAAAAGATAAGTCAAACAGCAGACCGCAGTGAAATCAATGCCGTGTGAAAAATAATAACCGACCTCTTGGCCACATGTCGACATAATACCGAACGTACGCTCGTAAAAAATAGAAAAAGAACCGCAAAATAGTCGCTATTACATTTGCGGTGTGTGCCAGAAAAATTGGAAATATATTTGGAGAAAAAACTAACGCTTTATCGATTGACGTTTGGATAATTCGTCTTACGTGTGAAGTGTTTGTTTAGGGCCTTGGAGATTTATGAAGAATATTATATCGGTTGTAAAGCCAAAAATTTTTATCATGCTTATGAGTAGCATTTTCAGCTAGATTTATAAAAAACAAAAATTAATTTCGAACTAAGATTATATCAAAAGGAGTAAGAATTTTAATGTTTTCAGTGGTTTCTTTAAATTTTTCTTAGATTAAAAAACTTAATGCCAATATTGAATCATTAACTATAAAATAAAAGACAATATAAAGCCAAAAGTAGTTAGGGAAATTACTTAAAATTGTTAATTCAATTTTACTAACTTTGTCTTATCTACATAACGCTGTCCTATAAAAAAGTTCGTAAAACTGAGTGAATCCAGTCTCGTTTTTATACGTCACTTGATTTTGACGCTTCAATTTAAATGAATAAAGGTTGCACTCTCTGAAAAAGATAGTTGTTGCAGATAAAATGAGTTGTTACGCCGCATCAAATAGGATGAGGATTCCTTAAAACGTTCGCTACCGCTATGAGAGTCGTTGAAACCCCTATAAAAATGTTAGTTCGCCTTTCATTACATTTTGGAGAGAGAGAGAATGCCCCGTGTACGAACTAATTTATACTTTAAATTCAATACGACCAGCGCGCTTTTTCCAATAATAGAAATGATATTTATTTTACAAAATGCTTGATATGTGTGTCATGAATAGCATATTCAAGGTGGTTAACAGAGTTTTGTTATAATTTTGTCTAAGCATTATGAAGTATATAAAGTAAATTTATTTGTGGAAGTTGTTTTGGCTGATTTTATAATACACATAGGGAATTAAATTGTAGTATATTATGTTTGTGGCGGCATAACATCTACTTATATATATACCCATATATATATTCGCTGACGTGTTTATGAACTGGATTATATAGCACTATAAGTTCAGTGCTACACGGTCTATTTCCCTTGACGGCCATTTTACTATGGGTAGTACCAACTTAATAAGGAATTCCAGGCCCGCTGGTGACTATCGAAAATCCACCTTGCTGAGACGTTTCTGTAATTTTGAGAGATCTTGCTAGCTTGGTTATAATATAAGCGAAACGGAGACAGGCTTCCCCACAGTGTTGTTATTTGCACCTGTAGTCACAGATAATATGGGAAAAATGGTTGAATATATACCGGCGACAGCACAGACATAACATTTGATTTCAATTTAATTATATATATGTGTATATATATATATATTTATTACGTAAAAAATAAATGTGTTGTTTTTTTTTTCTAACCTGTTCTAAATATCTTTAAAGCTTTTACAAAAATACGGATTTCAGATTTGAAATTGAAATGGACTTCCATGTTGTGGGCTGACTTTTCTAAAATTCCCTCTGCTGAAAATATAATGTTGTTAAGGATTTACAGACATTTTGAATCCGCTGTTTTGATTTTGAACAGGAAAAGATTCTTCAAATGCTAAGGTAAATAATGTAGGAAATATTAAAGACTAAAATGATCCTTGGGTTGCGTTAAAGATTTTATTCCTTTGTTAAATAAATATCCAAAAACATTAACTTCTAATCTATAAAAAAATAATTCTTTCAATTCAGATATGATATAATTCAAAGCTAATTAAAAAGAAAATGTGATAAAGAAGCTTTTTAAAAAGAAAATGTTATAAAGGAACTCAGGAAACAAACATATTCACCAGAAGCGGATTTGAGAGGCAAAATAAAATATTGTAGTAAATAATTTTTTACTTTATTTTGTTAATAAATATTCGCAAAAGATTAATTATTAAAATCTTCTGTTAGCAGTTTACAATTAACATTATCAATTCAAGCTATAAGAGAAGTGATAAAATAAGTTTTGAAATCTCCTTCTAAATCCAGAGCTGCGCACAATGTAATAAGTGATAATGATAATGTGGCCATAAGTACATACGTTTCTGTAATATATAAGAATTAATAAGAATCAGCGAATAAATAACATTGATGAGATTTAAGATTTTTGCCAGTCTTATTTATTTAAATGAAACTAATGTTTTTGATGTATACTACATTAATATATTTTTATAAAAATAAAATCGCGTACTGTTATAACCTAGGATTGTAAGTGTAATTGCGTAAATGCAATTCTATAATAGACAGGTCAGCATTTATCATTAGAACATTAATTAGAACCCCTTCATTTAGTTAGTCTTCACCTAGATCTTGTAATGAGCGGTTGTCCTTTAATTATTAAATAAATCAGTTTATCTTTTTTTTAAAAAGTGATTTTAATTCTCCGGGCTAACATTTTGGTGGCAGCGGTGGGATACGAAATTCCCCAGTGCATAACTCCGCTCAAAAGACTCAATTGTATAATCGTATCCTACAAATCTACAAATTATCAACATTATATCCTTAAAAAGGATTCACGCTCCTACAAGGGAGACCTACGGCGATATCATAAGTCGTCAAATCACCGAAACTTCGATTATCCTGCTTGCATCCAGTGAGAATCCCGGGATTAAACGTATAACAGAGATATACCTCACCGAGTCAGTTCGACGTGCATCCACATTCTTGAAGATCATATTCCAGAAATGTGCAATCCGAGAGTCGTCGTGCTCTTATCAGTCGTGCACGTGTTAATGCAGTAAGTCTTTGGCCATTGTTTTGTTCAATGAATTAGGGTTCCTTTTACAATACTTAATATTATAATCTTTTAATTGTGAGTTCATGCATGCATATATTTATATTAGTGTGATTCGTAATTTCAAAACAGTTTTTATAAATTTGTTTTAAACCTAAATTATGCCAAAAGTGCCTAAATCAGAGGACGGCAAACTTAACTTAGATATTCCTGACCTAGATCAAGTACCTAGTGATATTTCTGCTAAATCACCTGTAACATCACCCCGCGTTACAAGGCGGACTGCCGCTAACATCGCCATGGCTGAGTTAGACCTAAACATCTTGTTTAAATTCATCAAATCCTATGACGGCAACAGAGAAACTCTTAACTCATTTATAGTAAATTGCGATAATGCATTTGAACTCGCTTCCGATAGTCAGAGGCCCATTCTATTCAAGTTTATACTTTCACAATTGAACGGCAAGGCAGAAGTTGCTTGATCGATAAAAGATTTTACAAACTGGGAGCAACTTAAGGAGTTCCTTAAGACCCAGTTCAGTGAAAGAAAACATTACTCTCATCTCTTGATGGAGCTTCAGGAGAGCAGACAAGGTCCGCAGGAGAATGTTAACCAATACGCGCTAAAGATGGAAACATACCTTTCACAGCTACTCACTGAAATTTCACTTTCCACTTCTAAACTAAAGGAGCTTCCTGGGCGCACAGCGGCCATGGAAGACCTCGCCCTCCATCATTTTGTCATGGGACTTCAACCCCGCATTTCCAATATTGTCAGATGCAAAACACCAAGAACATTAAATGAAGCAATCAATTTCGCCATTTCGGAGGAGAGAATCCAACAAACCCTTTATAGGCGACCACAGGTCGAACAAAGGTCCAACAATCATAATAGATTTAGGGCTAACCCGGGGCCAAGCTCAAATTCTTCTCACATTCAGTCAGTACGACCAAATTCTAACTCGGCTCCTCTTCAGAGAGCTCCATTTAATACACCCCCAAGGAAGCCATATAACAATAATGATTCAAACCTTTTCTGTCGTTATTGCAAAATGAAAGGCCACGAAATTTCCACTTGTAAGAGGCGCGAGTATAATAACGCCAGAGCTCAAGGGTTTCAAAATTCCCCGCGCGTCAATTTTGTTGAACTGCCTCAAGAGGAAGTAGGCTATGATGAAGTCGATGAGGTAGAACAATCTCAGGATAATTTAAACGCGTAAAAGTCTCGCCCCGGTGCCGATCGAGACAAATTAATGTGATAGGCACCGAATTTAATTCTAAGGGTCATAAACAGGGTAACCAGCCCCAAACTCGCACCCTCTCTAATTCACTGAGCCACGAACAGGGTAACCAGCCCCAAACTCTCGCTCATCCTAAGGGTCATGAACAGGGTAACCAGTCCCAAACTCGCACCCTCTCTAATTCACTGAGCCACGAACAGGGTAACCAGCCCCAAACTCTCGCTCACTCTAAGAGTTCTAAACAGGGTAATCAACCCCAAACTCTCAATCATTCCAAAGAGGTGTATGAAGTTCATATTGATACTACGAAACGGCTTTTACCGCATGTCCTGCTAGAGTCTCAAGCCTCAGATATTCCTCTATCTCTGCTAGTCGATTCGGGCTCCGCCATTTGCCTCATAAAAGAATCAAGTATCCGATCTAATCAAAACCTAATTAAAGAACCTATCAAACTCAAGGGTATAGACCCTAGTGACGAGCCAACTCCTACTATAGGGCATTTCCAATTAAAACTAAAACTAGGAAATAATAAATATCTTTCTCATAAATTTCACGTAGTCCGCGATATTAACTTACCTTATAATGGAATCATCGGTACAGATTTTCTAACTAAATTCGGATGTAAAATAGATTACACTCACGATATTCTAAAGATAGGCAAACAAGAAGTCAAATTATTGTTCTCTGAACCATTCTTTGTCATTCCACCCCGAACCGAAGCCGTAATAGAATGCGCTGTCCAAGAAACCGATCTAAAAGAAGGAGTAATTCTAGACCAACATATTTCTATACTTAGGGCATATTATCGGTCAAAATGGAGTACAACCTAACCCAGACAAGGTCAAGGCCGTCACAGACTTCCCTACACCCAAGTCTCCTAGAGATATTAAATCATTTTTGGGCCTTGTATCATATTATAGACGTTTCATACAGGATTTCTCTAAGTTAGCCAAACCCCTAACTAATCTTCTCAAAAAAGATACTCCTTTTACATGGGAGAACACACAACAATTAGCATTCGAAACTCTTAAGGAAAAACTCGTTTCGGCTTCAATTTTGGCATACCCTGACTTCACACAACCGTTTCTTCTTACTTGTGATGCTTCCAACTTTGCCATATCGGCTATTCTATCTCAAGGACAAATAGGCCAGGACCGTCCAATCGCTTTCGCCTCTCGTACTCTTAATCGGGCCGAATGCAATTACAGTGTCACTGAAAAAGAGTGCCTCGCTGTGATCTTTGGCACTAAAGTTTTTAGACCTTACCTCTACGGACATCGTTTTACTGTACTAACTGACCATAAACCACTTGAATGGTTATTCAAATGCAAGGATCCAGGTTCCCGGTTGATCCGTTGGCGTTTGAAATTGGAGGAGTTCGAATACGATATCAAATATAAAAAAGGGAAAATCAACACGAACGCCGATGCTCTATCTCGGTTCCCAGTAAATCCAATTCAACCTGAAAATGCCTCTGAATTAGACGAAGATCTCATGGATCTACTCGTATCACCACCTTCTTTCAACCCTGACGAGTTAACTGCAGATATTCAGGATCCCTGTGAATATGACACCGCCGAATTGGCACAGTCGTCTGACCCTATCATAGAACCTACTCTACCAACTGACCCTCCTTCAAAAGATTCCATAGATCTATTAGTACCACCTAATGATTTTAATCCCGATGACTTAATCATAACCTCCCAAGATCAAGGTGAGCCTGTTAGAACTGAAAGTCAAAATACACCTAACCTCATCGTAGAGCCCGGTCCTCCTACAGACGATTCTCTTAATCTAAACCTACCTGATGATGACTATCCCGCATTCTTGAAAATAATTGCAGGTAATAATGCAACATTTAATACAAAAATCATAGAACATAATGAAGATATTCGCAAATCAAAAAGTAAAATAATTATCTTACCCACTTCCATAGACCTCGATGAATCCAACCCCTTTGTTCAATACGTTCTAGACAACATACCTGACAACTCCGAAATCATAAATAAAGAAAGGACGTTAAACTCATTTATATCATTCGAGCACGCCGGCAAGAAATATTACTTCCTTTTCACCAAAGTTTACCATTTCGACAAATGTTCATATGTTGACATCTATAACAGTCTGAGGAATCTCCGAAACGAATTAGTCATAAATGAAAACAGCGACTCAAACATTGAAATAGCAATAACAGAATTTAAAAATCCCTTTGATACACATCAATTCATCAAGATATATAATATGATTCTCTTCCTTTTCGATAAATCCGGTATAACCATTCATATTTATAAAGATAAAATAATTTACCCCACTCCTTCAGAAATTCCCAAGATATTAAAAGAAAATCACGATATTCCAATCGCCGGTCACCTTGGTAGTAGTCGAATGCTTAAAAGAATTCAAGAAATATTCAATTGGAAAAACATGCGCAGCGATGTCGAGAATTTTGTTAAGAAATGTCCTCAATGTCAACTCAATAAATCTCTTAGACAAATTAACCGCGCACCTATGCAAATAACTAGCACCTCAACCGAACCATGCCAAAGAATAGCACTAGACATTGTTGGTCCTTTACCTGAATCCGGTCCGGCGAAGCTCAAATATATATTAACTGTCCAGGACGACCTCACGAAATTTTCATCTGCCTATCCAATACGAAGCATTACAGCTGAAGAAACTAGCGAATGTCTGCTTCATTACATTTCAATATTCGGTATACCTAAAACTATTCTCACTGATCAGGGAACTAATTTTACCTCTGAATTGTTTAAAGAAACTTGTAAACTTCTAAAAATTAAAAATCTCTGGTCCACTCCTTATCACCCACAAACTCAAGGTGCTCTGGAACGAAGCCATTCAACACTTAAAGAATACTTAAGATCCTTTGTCGATGAAGACCAAACGAATTGGCCTCGTTATGTCTATACCGCTATGTTAACTTACAATACTTCTGTCCACTCTACAACTAACTATACGCCTTACGAACTTATGTTCGGCAGCAAACCTTTTATTCCAAATTCTATATATGAAGAAATACCCGGAGCCACTTATCCAGATTATGTCCGAATGCTTCAGAGCAGACTGAAATATTCGAGAGACAAGGCATTAGATTACATAAGAAAATCCAAAGAATCGTCAAAATCTTACTATGACTGTCACAGTCGCCCTGTGAAATATAAGGCAGGAGATTACGTTTATTTGAAAAATCATCTGAGAATGCGTAAGGCACTCTCACCAGTATGGAAAGGTCCTTACAAAGTTATTAAAATTAATGGTAACAACACACTTACCCTTCTCATTAACAGGCGTCACGTAACGCATCACTTTGATCAGGTGAAACCTGCTGAAACCACCGGAACTAATTCGCGTAGTCCGCAGTCAATTCCTTTAAGTGAATCTCCGGAACTCGTAACATAAGATTAGAGTAATAAGAAATAAAATAAGTGTAGTTAGGTATATAAAATATTAAAACGTAAATTTTATATTAAAAACATTGTATTAAGATAAAGTAGTAACTTACTTTAGTTTTGGCAACCGTTGTTTACAGTGTTACACGGGGAGAACCCCAGCGGAACTACGTCCAGCCGGTTACTTCAAGTTCAGGTCTTTATTACGACTACTTAGGAAATTTGAAAATCAATAATGTCCAGTTACAAGTTGTAATTCCAGTAGATATTTCCCATTTTAAGCCACACATCAAAAATATTGAAAATACCTTAGAAACCTTGAAATATCTTTGTAAACAAACCAGAATTGAACAAATAGATCAGGAATGTCATAATTTATTACAACCGATATCGGCGCGATTCCAAGATATGAGTAAGGAGTTCTCTGCTATTTCCCATCTTCTAGACAATAGATCCAAGCGCAGTGCCTGGATAGGTGTCATAGGAACAGCAATGAAACACATATTCGGTTCATTGGATGAGAATGATGGTATGAGGTATAATGAAGCCATAACGACTTTACAAAATGATGAAAAACGGTTAGCCACGTTGATGAAAGAAAATATCCTAGTTACTTCCTCTACTTTAAAGATACATAATGATAGTTTATTTAAGATTAGAGAAAATGAGAATAATCTCGTTGTAGCTATTGACAAGCTCTCTTTAAGTATAAAAAACATTACTGAATTAACTAACGGTCTGCAGATCCTCATTAATGTTAACGAAGTTTTTAACGCTATAGAAGCTGCCATAATTACTCTGTCCTTTCAACTGGAAGATGTCACTAACGCTATAATGTTTAGTAGTCAAAATGTTCTCCACCCATCAGTTATAACTCCTAAGCAGTTATATCAAGAGCTTGTCGATAATTACAGACATTTGTCTAATGATCTAGAATTACCTGTAGCATTAAATATTGATTCTATACATTTAATTCTAAGTATATCTAAAACAGTTTGTTTTTACATTAGAGATAAGATTGTATTTGTCTTAGAGGTACCGCTAGTTAACACGAAAGAATACGTATTATTCCATAATATAGCTATTCCGACGCCACATAATCCTAAGGAACCTAATTCATTTACTTTAATAATTCCTGAAAATAAGTATATAGCAATGACCATAGACAAATCGCATTATTGTGTGTTTAATGATCTTGGAGTGTGTAAGTCTGTAGGCACAGGAAACTTCATTTGTGACCTCCAGAATGTGTATTCTACGGATGCAAAACCTATTTGTGAAAGTGAGCTATTAGCTAAAGTGATAAGTGAAAAACCGATACAGTGCGAGACGAAAATCTTATACGGAAACCTAAACCTATGGAAATCATTAACAAACAATAATTGGTTGTATGTACAATCCGAACCCCAAAAAGTGTCTATTGATTGTATTAATTCAAAACTATATGAAACTAATATTTTAGGAACGGGAATTCTTAACATCCCAAAAGATTGTATTGGATATAGTAATAGCGCCACGTTTGTACCTACACATAATGTTCTACAGATTAAATCGCCAATTAATCATGTGCCAGATTTTAATTTAATTAATGATACTTGTTGTAACTTAAATAGAGTAAATTCTGTAATCGGTAATGTGTCTCCTATTCGTTTACACAATATAGACTTAGACAATTTCCACTCTGGAAATAAATTAAAATCTATATTAAATAATTTACATCAAATCGAAACGAGGAAATTGCCTCATATTGTGGAATATGGGACACAGTACTCAATTTTCATTAATATAATACTTTCATTTATAATTATTTTCATATTATATTTAGCGGTTAAGACTTGTTGTATTAAACTAAACAACCGCCCATTCCAATATTTTAAGAAGAAACAAGCAGTAACTTTGACAACCCCTGAAATTAAGGAAACTATAGACAGAACAGAAATTGATACTGAAATATCCAGTCCAGTAGCCCCACTTAGAACTAGGATATAAAACGAGACTTTGGAATCAACCCCAAAGCCTCTTCTTAAAGGGGGAGGTGTTATAACCTAGGATTGTAAGTGTAATTGCGTAAATGCAATTCTATAATAGACAGGTCAGCATTTATCATTAGAACATTAATTAGAACCCCTTCATTTAGTTAGTCTTCACCTAGATCTTGTAATGAGCGGTTGTCCTTTAATTATTAAATAAATCAGTTTATCTGTTTTTTAAAAAGTGATTTTAATTCTCCGGGCTAACAGTACTGTATCCGAAAAACATTAGTTTTAGTTAAATAAATAATACTGAAGTATATGATGATAAGTAAAGTATATACCTTATTTTATTGATTTTTTATCGTTCTCACAAATGATATAGGTAAAATGAAACCTAAATTACTTTTAATATTGTACAAAATGCTTGTCCATTGTGGCTTAGCCTTTTGTATAGCGTCCACATTTGTAATTAAAAAACTTTATAAGTTACTAAGGTCAGGCGTCAACAACTAAAACCTTTTTCGGTAAATACCAAAAAACCGGTATCGATAAAGCTTATAAAATTAAAACATGATGATATATTTTTTTAAATTTAAGAAGGTTTTTATTGGATACAAATCAAGAAGTCAATGAAATTAATCATCTATTATTCTTAAAGCCTAATATTAGTATAAAGAAAATAATATTTTATTTCAAACGTGTAACAAAAGATAATTGTAAACTAGTCTTTATCTACAATTTTGAATTAAGTTCGCCATCAGCCTATCAGAGCCCACTGCTGAGCAAAGGCCTCTTTCTCACATGGAGAAGGTTTGACCATTAATCACCACGCTTGCTCAAGACGGGTTGGTGATTTCAAACTTATAATTGTGAAATTATAAGTCCAGGTTTCCTCACGATGTTTTCCTTCACCGTCTCTCAGTGGTGTCTAAATTTAGTTCTGGTTAATCAAACCATAAAAATATTGGGTGTTAATTTTATCTATGAACTAGTTACGACCAAGATTAATGAAGGGTATACGAAAAACGTATTTTTCTCATTATGTTTTATGCTTGTCAAAGAAAAACTTAAAATGTTAATTATGAATCTTTTTACGGTGAAAGTTAAAAATTTACAAATGTAATTGTAGCATATTTATACACAGGTTTAGAATGGATGGATGGATTTAAGGAATCTTTTGTATTATTAAAAACGTTTTCTACTGATGCCTTCGGGTTTAAGAACTTTATTTAAAAAAAATTACTTTTTTACTTAAATTTAAATTTACTTTTACCTTAAATATGCTGTTTATATTTCACACAGGCATTGTGTCGCTACGAATGCATGTTAGAAGGAAGTGCTCAAACACTATGGACTACGTGCTAGGAAACTAGAGTTAATTGAGAAATAAAGACCTAATATAAGAATATTCTCTTTACAATCTTTATGAAAAAAAATGCTTTAACTAAGTATACTTTTTTTGTTTGTAAATACTTTTTATTTGATGTACTTATTTACTCCTAAATTTTACTTTTACCTTTCCTACCAATAAATAATAACGTATTTGCTATTCTCTCTGCTGCACCTGTATGGACGTGGATGATGGTTGATATATGTATTTACGAGGGGTATCGTTTGTGTTTTAGCCCATATAATAAAATTGATATACGGACTATTTTTATTATTCATATCTTGAATGTTGAGACAAAATCTATTAATAGTCAAAGTAATTAGTGACATCAATTTAATTACTTTCATAGTAATGATGTGTGATATTATAGATAATTATTATAATTTTCGAAATAATTTGTTTTTGTAAAGCGTTGTATCATCGTTGCCCACACGATGAGTCATTGTAGCCCGTAATGATATCATCTGCTTCAAACCGTAAATGGTATTACTTAATTGTAACTGTTTTTATAAAAATATCATTTTTTCGAGAAGAGTATCATTATTTATTAATATAAAATATTATTTTCAATACTATGATTACTTTTATTGGCTTTCGAGTATATGTCCGAGTTAAAGTTTAATTAATTATAATATGTAGTTATAGAAGTGAATATACTGTAAATGAATCTAATATTTTTCGGATTATGCTCTGCGACTATAATCCGAAAAATATAAGTTTCATTTAAATGAATAAAACTCACGAATATATAGATGTAATTATGAATATACTGAATTTTATTATTAAAAATGAAATGCTAAAGTTTTTTGTAACATTATAATATATGTTCGGTTTTTAAATATCTTCATCATATTTACACAGCAACAAATTAAAATGCGAGCAAACATTATAAAACCTTTTACATGGAGAGGTTAAAGGCAAAAATAAATATTTGCAAGTTAATAACAACTGCTTCTCCCTTTTGGATCTTACCAAGGTTTTTAATAAATTCATATGCATAATGGAATAAAAATGAAACTGCCGCTATTTATATTTAAAAGGTTTAAATTGATCACACTTATATATAATTTCAATAAGATTTGAGATGAAGTTTCAGTTACTAGGGTAGGGAGAGAGGCTGTGAAATAAATTTTTGACTGAAATCCAAAGATTCCTCAATTTTATGAGATCAATATCTGGCATTATCGTGAATTCGATGACGTCGAGTATACCTGGAATGTTTACACCAAAAGAGTATTCATATTAGATTTTCTATATCGCAATGCCAGCCGGCCGTATCAGAATGTCACCGATACATTCGATACTTTATTCGAGTCTATTCGAGCACACCGCTCGCCGCGACGCGGAACACTGTCAAATAAATACAGTTTGAAATATATCCGCTGCCGAGTTCTGTGATCCTGGTATATTCGTGCCATTTGAAGAATGAATTTTTACATGTTTCTCATGTTCTTCGCTTATATTTTCACCTGGAGCAGCGGCATGTTGTACCGGCGCGACTCCGATAATGTTTTGAAACCTGGTGAGATAAATTTATGATTATTGTTTATAAATTTTTATTATAAGCATGTGTGAGCTTCATGTGAAAACATATTTTTAAATTACTTCCGCCATTGTTATCATATATGTAGAACAATTAACTAATTCAGTTGTTCCATATTTAAATATTTTTCTGAGTGATTGTATTTTTTTTGTGTTAACACGAATGTTGTGCAACACGAATGTCGGGTAAAAATGAAAGACATAAATTTTTCTCAATTCGATTGAATATTTATTTTGCGATGGATAAACTAATAAGTGTTGATCACAACAATATTGGTAGTTTGTCCTTGTTATGGGTCATTTATATTGCAAAAAAATAAATGATTACAATTTTAATTCATAGAATTATTATAGAAATTGTTATTAGTTCAAATAGTGATTGATAATAATTGATCTTAATAGACTTCTAAAAGTTTGTGCATAAAAATTATTGCGATATTTTGTTTACATCACTTCTCGAGTAGTGGAAGGTGAACAAGTAAGTAATAATACTGCTATATTTGAAATATATATAGTACCTTGCCTTGAAGTTTCGCATGCGTCGCAGGTTGTAACTGCACTTTCAAATAATTCAATAAAAAAATATTATGTCAAAAAAGCTTCAAAGAGTTATATGGCAATTCTTCGGTAATTTTAGGTTAATGGTTTAGAATTTAGAATTACATAGTTGAAGAATAGCATTTTAGTTTGATAATCTATTCTTATTCGTGATTAAAATCGCATTTACTGACACTCGTACAGGTTTCTAAATGCCCATGTACAGTTAAAAATATATGGGTTTGTAATAGTACTTTAGTTATTTAGTAAAATAAATGATTCTATATTGAACACTATAATTTCAACGAACTTGTAGCAGGGCCCTGTTAAATTAAAATGATGTATGAATGTAAAATTAAAATAATGTTTATCATTTATCAGGCCCTTCTAAAGATTTGTTGGATAACTTGTATTTATAAGAATAACTATTGACTTTAAATATTAACTAAACTAAGGTATCCATTTTTATGAGAAAAAAATAAGAAAATATCTACTTTTTGGAAATTTAATCTCAATACATATATATATATATTTCGTTAGCGATTACCCGAAATTCAATTACAGAAATAATTTGTGATGTAGAATCGGTGTGTATAGTAATGCGAAATATTCCATAATAGCAAACCATATATCTTCTTCTTCTATATATATAAAAATGGATTGCTGTTCCTTAGTCTCGCTAAACCTCGAGAACAGCTGAACGGATTTATCTTATCTTAGTCTTGAAATGTTCGTGGAGGTTCAGGGAAGGTATAAAAGGTGAGAAAAATTGATTCATTTCCGGGAAAACCTTAAAAACAGCCCTTTTCTATTTCCCATACAAATGTTTTCTTTGACATTAGATTTGACAACTAACGAATATGTCAATCATTCTGTTCAATTGAAACAGGAAACACCTGATTATTAATGGCCTCTAGGACAGAATAGAGTTCGCCCGGTCAGCTATACATATATTAATAATGACGAAATTAACGCGGACGAAGTCGCGGGCAAAAACTAGTATGTATATAAAACTGAATAATGTTTTCACTAGAGATAGATTTTCTTATAATTTATATAATTAAATTAATTAAAATATAAGTAAAATAATAAACAAAAATGTCATTCAAATCTTACTCTAACTCTAACATTATTATAAAACGCATTTATAACTCGAGTTATATAGCGACAAAGACTTAGATTACATAGTTCCTTGCAAAAATTTTCAAATTATTTTTAATTAGTAGGTTAAGTCTCAAAAAATCTTTGTCTTAAATCAAAATTTGTTTTTTTATTCGGTTTCGATATCGCTAGGATTTCGGTATAATTACATCTTTATTTAATCGCATCTAGATTACTTTTCTTTTGTTTCCAGTAATTCTAGTCGCTTGATATTCTTTATAAATAATTAATTAATTTAACTGTGAGTAATGTTACTATTCATATTATTTTTGGTCCAAAGTTTGGTCTGTAAGCTGATTACACATTTACATTTATCTTTTAATAATAAACCGTAGACACAATACAATTGAAAATTGAATCTTCAACTCACAGAGGGTTAGATTGTT